AGGTCCTTATTACTTCTTTGAGTGTTCCAGGAGAGGGCTGCACACTTCAGGGCCAACAGTTTTGGGGAAGTTCGGGACTGGGAGTGTGTTGGGGTCACTCTGCAAGTAGTAACCAAGGCTGGTGGAGTCAAGGGTGCAGCTGTTGTGTTGCAGGCAGGCTGCTGGGGTCAGAGTGTTGAATCAGAGCTGCTTAGCACACAGACCCTCACGGAGCTACATGTTTGTCTGCCAGTTGTTGGTATTCAGGCTGCGAGATCCAGCAGCAGAGCATTAAAGACCCCAGGTTTCAGGGCAGGTGGTGACACAGTCTCTCACTGGTCTGGATTGAACTGCAAAACGTCACAACAGATGTGCCTCATTAAACTGCTCTCTGAAGAGAAGGGAAGTGGGAGACAGAGTCAGAGAAGGCCTAATGGGAAGAATATTAGAAACTGCTAAAGCCTGGGAAACAAGCCTAGGAAGAGACCAAAATTTATGTATATTATTTTTATAATTGCTCTCTTGGTTAAGAAACCCAATAATAGTGACTTTTTGACTCTTTTATTTAAAGGTGAGTAGTTTACAGTGAGCTACCAGTTTAACACATATCAAGACAATGGAGGTATAGTAGTTTCAGATATTTGCAAATACTAACGCCCTCTGATCTTTATTTGCACATCATATCTCGCAGTGTGCAATACAAAACTTATAAAAGAATGTCGTCTAATAGAGTGGGGAGCTGAGATTCAGGATTCCTAGGATCTATTCCTGACTAACATCAACTCTGTGACCCTGAACACGCAACAATTCTCTCTCTTCCTCAGTTTACCCATCTGTAAAATGGGTATAATAACACCTAGGGCACTCAGTGTTGTGAAGCTGAATATTTAATGCTTGTGAAGCACTTTGAGAACTATGGAAGAACTATGAGCTATGCAAGTTCAAAGTAGTATTACCAAGAACTTTGCAAGACATAATACAGTATTTGGGATTATTTCTGACAAGGAGAATAATTTTGTTTTGGAGACTCATTTCATTTAAAAAAATGATTTCACTGGAGAGAAACAGAAGTATTTTCTGAGATTGTCCTTAATGGAGTTGATAATTTCAGGATAATTTGTGACATAATGGTCTTTGAGATCTCTGGAAACTTATTACCAGCTTATAAAAAAATGAGACATAAACCCCAGGAAAAATGTCTCCAGAGACACCTCAGATTCAGAAAATGATAAAAGTCTCTGATTTTTCCATAGTTCACTGAGTAATATGAGGACCATATTCTTCCAATAGCTTTATTCCTTTTTAAAAACAATTTTCAGGTTTGACCAAACACAAAAGCATGTCATATGTAGAGATGGATAATATTTTGGTCATCCTTACAAAATCTCTGTACCACCCACTCCAACCCAGTAAATCTGTTTGAAGGTCATAAACATTTGAAACTTTTTTAACATAAAAGGAAATGCAGAAATGCAGTGCTTGGCCCAAGAGATCAGTATTTAAATAAACCTGTGGAATTCCAAGAGTTGTGGCAGAATTCTGTCATTTTCAGTAATTTTAAATACTCTCTCTGCTCTCACCCAGTGAGCCAACAATACATCTAATTCCACATCAGAGTTGATACTTTGGCTGCCCCTGTAAAAGAAAACACTCTCCTTTTACACTTGGCTGCTTTGAGACCATTCCATTCTTCTGTTTCATTTCCGATTGCATACAGAACAGTACTTACTGAAAAGGATCAACACATTTGTCTGTACTTGCAGAGGTAAATGAATAAATTGCAGCAAATAATTTATTTGATGAATGAATTTCTCTATGCTTTCGGTTTGCAAATTGAAGAGTTTGCTATTTCTGCATTATTTGGAATTATTTGCTAGATAACTTTGGGGAATAATTTTTGCTCAGCAGATCACTGGTACCTATTTGTTTTAAACTTTGGATAATTGGGTGGTCCTCGTTAGTTCTGAGGGGACACGTAGGTCACATGGTATAATTTTGTTCCTGATTGGATGACCAGCTCTCTTAGTATCTGCTGCAAATACTCAAATTGCAAATTCTGTTTCCATTGTGAATACTTGTGGAAGATATAATCAAGGTGTTCCACAAGATCCCAAAGAATCTCCCTTCCCCGCATCCCCCAAATCAGCCTTTTTGCAAAACAACATTGCCATAGTCCTCCCACCTTAACCTATCTTCTCCCCTACACTTTACCTACCATCATCAACATCCTTACTGACTCCCCTTGACCATTCATCCCTTCATGTTCCTTATATCCTCCCACCCCCACTCCAGTGTTTGCCATATATATCTAAGGGATGATCATTGGGGATGCTGAAGGGGATATGGGAGAGACAAAAGAAGGAGCATGTGTGTGGAAGAGCTGTTCATCTTGAACAGCCAATGTGCAGCCTTAATTCTGACCACAGATATAATACACGTTAGCAAATAGATATGCAGATTTAATATTTGTAATTTCCACACAAAAATACCAAATTTATCACATTAACATGGATTATCCATTTACCTTTTTCTCACCATTACAAAAAAAATTATCTCGTAGTCTTACACCAAAAGAAAACTACATACATGGTAATTTATGAAGGACACACCAACCCTATTTAATCATCAATAAATGTACACAAACAAATAACCAGTCCACAATCAGACTTCAAGAGTACCAGTAGTTGTACAGTATGAGCGTGGAGACATGTGGGCTGTGTACCAGAAGCAGCTGTGGTTGCAAAGGGGAACTGATGACTAGTGTGCATGAGGTGTAGAATGACATAATTGTTTATTTCTTTACTTTTTATGGTTTGTGTTGGTGGGATATAAAGTCTAACAACCATAAAGTGTCTGCCTGTGTATGTAGAAATATAGCTAGTATCTGTAGCTATGACTACGCACAGGCAAACACACACAAAAGTTTCCCGGGGGGGGGGGGGTAACACCATTCAAACTATATACAGTAGAATCTCAGAGTTAAGAACACCTCAGGAATGGCGGTTGTTCATAACTCTGAAATGTTTGTAACTCTGAACAAAACATTATGGTTATTCTTTCAAAAGTTTATAAGTGAACATTGACTTAATACAGCTTTGAAACTTTACTATGTGGAAGAAAAATATTGGTTTTAACCATCTTAATTTAAACAAAACAAACACAGAAACACTTTCCTTACCTTTCTTTATTTTATAAACATTCTATTTTTTAGATTACATTTAACCCAGAACTGTACTGTATTTGTTTTTTATTTCTTTTTTCTGTTTCTGCTGCTGCCTGATTGCGTACTTCTGGTTCCAAATGAGATGTGTGATTGACTGGTCAGTTCGTAACTCTGGTGTTCAACTGTATCCCCAAACACTTTAAAATTACTTTTGCTCTTTAGGTGTTGTCAAAGTGGGGTGACTTGAAAAAAAATGAGTTTCTTGAAACAGACTTCACAAAATCTTGAATCTCAAGACTGGGAATTTTTAAAACTTCTTTTAGAGTAGCAGATATGAGTGACAGGCTTCGACTAGTTGTACATCTAGATTTGTTCCCCAAGTGTGGACACTAATCTTTAATGCAGAAGTGATGAAATATTTGGTAGTTTCAAAAAGCTGGGACAATCTGAATGATCTATATGTCAAGAAAGTGATATTTTAAATGTCTTATTTAAATGTGCAACAATATCGCCTTTCAGTTGCAAGAGTTTTTTCATAGAATCATAGAAAGGCCAGGTAGGACTGGAAGGGACCTTGAGAAGCCACCAAGTCTCGCTCTCTGCACCAAGACACGACCAACTAAACCTACACTATTCCTGGAAAGTGTTTGTCCAATCTGTTCTTAAAAACCTCCAATGACAAGAATTCTACAACCTCCCTTGGAAGCCTCTTCTAGAGCTTACCTACACTTGTAAGTGAAAATGTTTTTTTCCTAATATCTAACCTAAATTTCCCTAGTTGCAGATTAAGCCCATTATTTCTTGTCCTGGCTTCAGCAGGCCTGGAGAACAATTGATCGTTCTTCTCTTTCATAAAAGCCCTTCATATATCAGAAGACTTTTATCAGGACCCCCCCGTTTTCTCAAACACTGCTGTAAAATTAATCACAGCCTGGGGGAGTCTCTCCTCCACAAAACTGCATTCCCACCCAAGATAGTAGCAGGGATCTCTTCCTGCCCTGCTTTAAAAAAGGAGGAATTCAAGGTCTCCCCTCTTCCTTTCTCCAACCCCGCCATGGGCCCTTCTGCCTCTAAAAACATTAGGAATTCCTTCTTTCCTTCCCCCACCCCAAAATTAGGGGGGGCTTTCGTCTCTCCTCCTAATGCAACGGTTCCCCCCTCCCACAGAAGAGGGTCCCCTCTATTCTCCCTCTGCCCCCGCTGGTAGAGTGAATCCCCCTGCCCAGAAATAGGGGACCCTGCCTCCCTACTACTGTTCGGGAGTCCCCCAGGATTAGGGGGTCCCCTCTTTCCCCACTGTAGGGCGGGAGTGGGACCGGCTCCCTGAAGCTAGCCCAGGAGGCAGGGTGGGGTTGGCAGAGGCCTGCCAGGGCCCGGGGGCCGGCAGGGAGGGGACTGAACCCTGCCCCCTGTCCTCTGACCGCCGAGGAGGCAGCCGCCGCCGCAGCGCCAAGGCGGAAGCTGCGGCGGCAGCAGGCCGAGCGCGGCGCAGCCTGTGCGGGCGGGCAGCTGGGCGGCGTCAGTGCGGGGCGCGAGCGCGCCGCCAGCCGCCGGGCACGCTCGTCCGTCAGCCGCCGGGGAGCCCAGCCCGAGATCGCCGCGCTCCAGGAGCCGCCCCCCGTCCCCCCTCCGCCGCGGGAGGGCTGGGGACTGAGGCGCCGAGGCTGTAAGGGGCCAGCGGGAGGCCGGCGAGAGCGGGGGGCAGAGGCAGAGCCTCACAGGCCGGGGGCGGGAGGGGCGGAGTGAGCGGCCCCCAGGGCGCCCCAGACCCGGGGAGGGAGAGGGCCCTAGGGCTTCCCAGAGCTGAGGGGGGGACCCCAGGCTTCCCACGTCGGGGGGTGGGGGGAACGGCGTGGGGGACCCCAGGGCTTCCCACATCTGAGGCGGGGGGGGGACCCCAGGGCTTCCCAGTACCAAGTGGGGCATGGTGGTGGAGCGCTGCTGAAGGGGACCCCAAACTCCAGACGCAGGGATGATCTATGCGGGAGGGTAGGTTGGGGCTCCTGCGAGGATATGGTTTCCGGGGGGACCAGGGTGTATTTATCACTAGGGGGAGTTTGTGGGTGAGAAGAGCTGCAGGCTAGAGTTGGTTACAGCCCTTGAAACCCCCAGTCCTTCACCCTCTGCCCCCTTCCCTTTGCAAAGGAGGGACCTGCCATGCCCCATTAGGCTGCCCTGCAGGGAATGGGAAATTGTTAAAAGTTCAGGATTATCATGAAAGGATATGGGAGTTGGTTTTGTTGTTGTTGTTTTTTATGGTGTGAGGGGAGAAGCTGAGTAAAGAAGAGTGGATTGATTAATTGCTGTGGAAGAAAAACATAATAGAGAATTTTGTTTCAAAAATTAGTAATAGAGCTAAAGGTGTTACTTCTTTGGAGGGAAAATCTAAGCAATGGTTAGTCTCTCTCTCTCTCCTTCAAAAAAACAAAACTACCAAAGAAGTATTTAGAGAAAAAAACACTGAGGCTTTCATAGCTATCCCCATTTTAAGTGCACTTACGCAGTAATTAGGAGATTTACAGACTTTATTTTGTTGCTACTACTACTGAACCCTTCAAGGATGATGTTGGCAGAGCAAGCCCAGAAGTGGTTCCCAACCCACGTGCAGGTTACAGTTCTTCAAGCCAAAGATCTGAAGCCAAAAGGCAAAAATGGCACCAACGATACCTACACTATTATACAACTGGGCAAGGAAAAATACTCCACCTCAGTAGCTGAGAAGACCCTAGAGCCAGTCTGGAAAGAAGAGGCCTCATTTGAGCTCCCTGGATTATTGATGCAGGGGAATCCAGAGAAATACATCCTCTACCTGATTGTCATGCACAGGTCGCTGGTGGGGCTGGATAAGTTTTTGGGACAGGTGGCAATAAATCTAAATGATATATTTGAGGACAAGCAACGAAGAAAAACAGAGTAAGTCATGTTTTGTATTATAGTTGTTGTGTTTTTTGAGGTATGTACTTGCAGATCAGAAGCCTTATAGCTAAAGTAAAATTAACAGGTATCTAAGATTATATTTTGTTACCCGATGTATCATAAGCCTCTGTCCTACAATGAGCTCTTCAAGGGCATATCCTCATTGAAGTCAGTAGGACTTCTTGTGACCACATGGGCCCACCTTGACAGAGTGGGACCATAGATAATAAAATCGTCTACAATTTTTAAATATATTAATTTTTAACATCTTCTTACTTTTTATTTTTAATTTTTTTTCATACTACTCAGTTGTACAACCATTTTCAACTTGTGGCATGCAGTTTGGACTATATTTCTGACTGAGGAAGTCCTTAAATTCAAGCATATGTCTAGCATCAACCTGTCTAATCTAGTGTTCAGTCTTCATATTCTGCAAAACTAAGCGACTCTAAATTTTCCACATTTATTATTTAGTGTTGAATGAACTTTGACTAAATTAAGGTTTACCACAGCTGTACTGTACTTTTCTGATTCTGATTAGAATTTTAGGCATTGATCCTGCAAACTGTTCTGCACTGCAGGCCCATGCAGAGAAACTTGTATGGTAGGGTTTGGGCCTTAGCGACAAACTGGAGTTGGTCTATTCATGTTAGTCCAGTTCCTAGAAGTATCTTCTATTGCAGTAGCCTTCAGCAGCACCCAAATAAAACTCTAATTAACCAACAAATTCTGCAACTAGAACTCAAAGGAAATAATGTAAAAGTTAGGTTTATAAATGTCATTTTGCACAGTAAATGCACTATGTATTTAAAGACTGAGTATCCTAAGGCCTGGTAAACACCCCCCTTTTTGTACCAATCTAACTTTTTTTATTAGGGTGCAGGTGGTTTTTTTTTTTTAACCGAAGTAGTTAAATTGGTACAACCCTTAGTGTGGACCCAATTATATTGGTACAGTGTGGCTTATTTTTCTGAATATATGGGAATAAGTTGTACTGGTGTAAGTACCTTTGTACTGGTATGACTATATCCATGCTAGAGGTCATATAACTTTAACTGTACCAGTCTCAAACCAATATAGTTAAATTAGTTCAAAAACTGACAAGCCATAAGTTAGGTGTGTAAATTGGACTTGCTGTTTGTGTTTTAACCATCTAAAGTTCCAGTTCTGCAATTAACTCTACATGTGTGTAGATGTCCGCTCAGACTGTCAGTTGCAGAATCATAGCATAGGTTAGTTTTTTAAATTTATTCTCTTTTTAAAGGCAGGCCAAAAGAATTGCAACTGTTCCGCTGAAATAGATGCTAATGCTTATAACCTTAATGGTGTGCTAATTTCTATTTCAGTTTGATTCAAACACGTTTCACTGTTTCTTCAAAATTAGTTCTTAAGTGTTATTAAGTGTTCTATAATTGGAAGTGATGATTAAACCCTGTGCTGCAAACACTTAATCACATGCGTACCTTTAAGGATGTGATTAGTTCCATTGAAAACAAAAAGACGAAATGAAAGACAAAGTAAAACAAGACAACAGTAAATATAAAAACTTGATTTAAGTAAATCAAAGTGAATATACATGTTCATAAAGTGGAAAAGGTAAAATGAGATGCATATAAAGCAATCCGGAATTATTGTGAAAAATCCCTCCTTCCATTTGGGGCAGTGCAACTTTTTTGCACAGTACTTTCACGTCTCTTTTATAATCTAACTGAAAGTAATGGTTGAACTGTAGTATTGCAAAATTATTCCTGGAAAATGCAATTGACTTGATTTCCAGGATTGTATGCGCTGAAATAATAAGATCCTTGTGATAACTGAATGAACATTCAAGATACTTCTTTTTTTGTGTATTTATGGGTAGCACAAGTTTACATATGTTCTGTATCTTTATAGCTTTTATTTTCAAGTTTGAGAAGAAGCCCCTATCCTGCATAATGTAAAATGTGAGAGATTGGTGCACTGTTGCAGAGCCCTTTTGAAGCCAGTGGGGCTCCACAAAGCTGCAGCTGTGCCCTACAAACTATACTTTTCAAGATGGGGCCAAAGGGTAAATTTTCAAAAGCAACCATGAACTATTTTCAAAAGTGACTTAGGGTCAGATTTTTAAAGATATTTATGTGGATAAAGATGCAGACACGCACCTGCTGAGATTGTCAAAAGTACGTACTAGGCATGTTTCTTCATTTTTAGGTGCCTACATAGCTTGAACCATCTGGCCCTAAGTCTCTTTTGAAAATTTGGCTTAGGCTACTAATACATTCAGGTGGTTTTGCAAATTTTACTGTCTCTACATAAGTATCTGAATGCATACGTGTCAGCATTATTTCCGATTACTGTTAACTGGAGATCTAGGCATGTTTGTTGAGAGGAGAACAAACCTTCAGGTATACGTACACCAAGGCAGGCTCGCTAACAAAGTGAAATAATCTTAAGCATTCTTTTAAATTCTGGCTTTTTTATTATTATTAAAGATTTTTTGGGAGGTGTAACATCCTATTAACCTCACATTGGCAGTTAGAATAAATACAGTGTTCTCCGACATGAGCATTAACTGGTTGAGTCAGTGAAGGTTGAGGATGCTTAACACATCTCAGGGTCAGGCCTGTTGTTCTTGACCACAAATAAGTCTGATGCCTCAATGCTATTTTGATTGTTTCAAAAGCACTAATTTAGTTTATTAAACTCTGATTCTGCTTTCAGGTATGTTGAACAGGCTTGTGGTATTATTACATCGAGAGTGATTTTCTTATGTTAGTGTAGTGTTAACATTTTTTGCTTTGTTTGGGGATAAATGAGATCCAGTTATTTGATTGTGTCTTTACTGGTAATATTTCTACCTTTTAATATATTTAATAGCTTCCTCTTTCCAACGCAGCTGTGCATATGGCATTGTAAGACTCAAGAGTCACTAGAGTATTACAAAAAAGATATTTAATATTCTGCACAATGCTGAACTTTGTCAGCAATTCCTCAGTGCTTTATAGAAATAGGTATGAGAAGTGAAGGCTACCAGCTGATTTTGCATTCCTAGGAACACTGCAGGGTGTATGACGTACAGTTTTGTTTGTTAGTATATTTACAAGTTCATTGCAGCTTCAAGAACACATGACAGGAAAAAATAGACTTTTTCATTTAGATTTTTTATTTGCTACTTGTTGTACCTTAGAGAAAATGTGATTTAAAAAATATATATATATATTTTGAACAATAAAGTTTTCAAACAGAGGCATGGTGAGAGGACTTACACATCTTGTATTCTAATGTTTGTTTTTTTCTGGCACAAGATTTAAGAAAATAAAACACAATGTTTATTATAACTTGATGGTAAAAAATATCTTTACATGCCATTATGCAATATCTTTACTCTTTCTTTTACCAATTGATGATTTTTCACATTCATAAAAATGAAAGTTGTTGGAATGGCTAAATCCAGTTGTGACTCAGGCAGTCACTTTCCAAACTTCTCCTTGATACTTCAGCCAATGAACATGTAACACCCCAGTTCCAATTCTTTCTTTGTCTTGGTGAGAAAGTGCCAGTTATGCTGTGGTGGTCTTGTAGTTTGCTTTTCTGTCCATTTGGAACTACTCTGGGTCATCAGACTCATTTCATGTGATAAATTTGAATGCAAATTTCTAGAGATGAAAAACTAGAGTATTGATCCACTCTGGTAGCCAGGCTGAATATGCTGTGTTTTTAGTGTTCCAAGATCTTGGGAAATAGTCAGATTTGTTTAAAGGATATCTCTAGAATAGCCCTTTAAAGGTCTCTTTAATATTTCTGTGTTATATCCTCATAAAAGAAACTGTTTTAGCAAGTATGGTAATTATGCCTGGAGCCCTGCAAATCCATGGATATCTGCTTCATATCCGTGGACCATTGTTGCGGATAGTGGATCGGATGCAGGTACAACCACACAGGGGTCTAGTCACCAGCGGCACACAACCGCACAGGGCTCTAGTCACCAGCGGCACCTGGCCCCTGGCTTCCAGCTCAGGTAGTCCAGGGGGTGGCACAGCGTGCTCGGGACCAGCAGGCTGGGGCTGGGCAGCAGGTTGGAGTCAGGAGTGTCCAGCACCCACTTGCCATGCCGCTTCCTGTCCAGCAGCTCAGGTTCCTTGGGCAGTACCAGCCTCCACACTATGGTCTGGCCCAGCAGCACTGGCTACGCTCCCAGGCCTGGCCCGCCTTCTCCTGGGCAGCAGGGCCTGCCCCCGGCCATGGGGATTGGAGCTGGCAGGACCCCGGGACCGCACCCTCCACCCCACTGGAATGCAACATGCTTTGCTGCTGCCGTGTACCGTTGCCTGTGGGAACAGAACACGATGTGATGCCCCTTCCTCCCAGCCCCCACTCCACATTGTCCCTTATCCTCAAGACCTCGCACCCATGCTGCCCCTTACCCCCAGTCCCCACCCTCGCGCTGCCTCTTGCCTGCAAGACCTTGCTCCCTTTCCCCCACCCCTTGTCGCTAGCCCTTGTGAGACGGCTTGCGGATGTGGGTGCGGATACAGGTAAAAGATGGCTAGTGGAGCATGGGTTGATCCTGGCAGATGCGGATTGGATGCAGATCCACATTTTTGTATCTGCGCAGGGCTCTAATTATGCCTGTATTTCCATTATATAAACCAAGTTTTTCATTGCAGCTTTTTTGTCTGTTACTGCAAAGTAAATACATCCCTGTTGCCACTGCATTCTGTATTTAATATCTGGGTGTGTATGCTTCTGTGTGTGTGTGTGTGTTAAAGCATATGTACATACTTATCTATTGGTCATTTCTGCCCACAGTCTTCTGGCCTCCTGACAAGCATAACATGATAAAATAAAAGACTATAAATTCCTGAACCAGCATGAAAACAATAATCTCCAATAACTGACTCTTTAAAAATGTTGTAGCAAATTATTTAATTGTAGTTGTTTACATTTCTGTGTTTAACTCTTATTGTCATGTGCTATACCTTAAGTTCATAGAGCTATACAACAATGGTTTTCCATTA